CCACTTACAAAGGGCGTTCTGGGCACTATTCAACTTGCATTGATCCCTCTAAACCTTTAGTAATATGATTGAGCTTTAGCGCATCATTAAATACCTTATTACACTATTTGCATAAATTGATTGCTTGTTGGGACAACCATATGGACAACATTTATGCTTCCCAAATAAAATGTGCCCACAAATGCGTTGTTGATTGCCTTGTCACAGGACTTACCGATGAAGTAGGTTCGAGCTGCAACGAAGTTACCCTAGCAATCAACTCGCGTGTTCTTTTGGGGATGAGCCAACAACTCAAGGGGTGTTAGACACAAACGCCTTCATCTCGGCTGTGTGAGCTCCGTACCTTCAGTAAGTCAATAATGCGCCATCATTCCGTGTTTCCATACCGTTGTCAGTTTCCATACTAGGACTGCGTCAAGCTCTTCTAACTGACCAAACAACAAAGCTTGGTCGCTAACGCATGACTGCGGCGTTCCTTTGTATGAAGTAGGAACCGTAGCATTCTTCTAGTCCTACAACTCGAAATGAGTTATGTTTGGTCGGTCCTGCGAAAGGATTTTTAATTCACTAGATTTACTTTTTGTTATGAATAACGGTCACCTATGGGATTTCGTGCGCCTACTTCGATAATGGCCTTTGCTTGCCAATTTACGATAGAATTCACTTAGAAAGGCGCCTTGAATAATGACTAGTCTAGTCCACAAAATTTAAATTTAGTCAAAATACAAATGAATACCAATAACAAATTGTTGATAAGACTCTCTGATGCATCATTTCCAGGTCAGCATTAGGAGTGACTTGCAGGCACCTGGGTAAGTTCGCTGAGATGATTCCAGACAATGGCTTTGGCATTGCGGAGACTGCTCATGAGACAAGGCCTGCCAATCACGTTTCCCCAAATTAGACAGAAAGCTCCAGCTCCAGCCAGCATGAGCAACGCCGAGGCGAAGAACTTGTAGGCTGGGTGACACACTGGCACTCCGGTCCCGAGGATAAGAAAAGCCAAGATGAGAACGGCGGCAATCACGAGGTGGATTGTCTTCTTCTGATCTTCCATCTTCATCTGCTTCTTAATTATGCCATCCGCCTCCATAAGGATGGTTTCCAATGTCTCGTGAGAGTTTACGGGTGGGACTTCTAGAAAGAAAGAAAACTCATGATGTTGTAATGCATTTTCAGGTTAGGTGTAATTTGGTTGGTCTGGCTGAAGGCGATCCCTAATACTTAGTGAAAAGAAGAAGAAGAGGCCACTCATTGGAGCTGCAATGATCTCTTGCTTGATGATAGAACACCAAAACAAGCATCGATTTGAAAGACGAGCAAATTGCTACCACAGAATGTGAATTTCCGCTCCTCTCCACACTCAACAGTGTGTTGTGAGAGTGAAAAGATGTTCTCTCTAATGGATGTAAATCGACCAAATCACTCGCCTATTTTAATTTAAAGTGTTATAAAGGCTTATTTCGTAATTCGATTTACCTTCAGCAATCGACTCCCTGTGCCTCATAATCAAGAATTCTGCAGTGACGACAGCGTGATCGGAGTAGAACACACCCGGCTTGTGTGGCACTTCTGCCATGTTTACATGGCATTTCTCACACTCCACAGTGACAGCTACAACCGAAGACGTTTACAGTAGTCATATATTGCTCAACAATTTTACATCAGAACCATTTGCTAACAATTATGAAAGCCATTAGCTCGATAATACACAACTGGACACTTTCGAAAAAAGCATTCCTTTAGTCCATTTACGCATTAAGGGCATGAGAAACTTAGAAAACTCCTTGGGAAAATGCACATACAAAAAGTATGCAGGAGCACTTTGGTGAATTTCAACAGGTTCTAGGGAGGGACACAACATGCTGACCAACTTCCGCACTAGTGCTAACACTGTTTAAGGAATCTATCAAGCCTTGGATCAAAAGGAAATAGGATGTCCCATTCGGTGTTCGCTTAGATTGATAACTGCTATGCAGATTTCCGTTTATTCTGACCAAAT